AGTCCCAGTAGAGAAGAGCTGAAGGACGGGAGGAAAAAGCAGTGGAAAAAATGCGCTGAGGAATACCCTTCATAACCTGCTGGAAAATCTGCTAAATACCTGACCTGTGCTCACAGTTTTCATTGGCCTGATCCTTGGCGCAAAGAAGATTAAGGACAGAAGAATCCCCACCCTCTTGGGCAGCAGTTACTAAGGCATGGCAGGTAGTAGGGCCTTTGGGACACCCTGGGTCATCCACTGCCCCTCGCCCGTTCGCAGGGGGTTCGAGGGAACAAGCAATGAGATATTGTAAAGGAATTAAGATTTTGTTAGCCATATGTCCTTCCAGCCATAGCGGCAAGGACTTCCTACCCCAACCGGAGGTCTCCTGGAACCTGAGACTGAGCCGTGTGAGCTTTCTGCTGACATTGTTTTTGCTGTCCTGGTTTCCAGCACGCTGGGCTTCTTGTCACTTCCCCGTGCTGGGCTTTCTTCGCATTCAGCTTCCACCACAGGAGCTTTCGCTGGGTTGGGCTTCTGCTGTGCTTAGTCTCTGCCTTGTGGGGGGCCGAGCTGAGGTTGTCTCAGCCAGGTTAAATCCGAGTCACAGCACTATAGATGTTAGGGGAGTGTGTAATTTCCTTGGTTCTGTCTCACCGCAGCAAAAACTCGAAATGATGGACCGACCAGGGTTACAGCTCCAAGTTACAGCTCAGTTTTACTGGGCAAACGAAAATATATCCTCGAGGCATGAGAGTGGGCCGACCCAAAAGACGCGAAGAGAAGAGAAGCCCCACCGCACCCACCCCCACCCCCTCAATTTTGGCTCCTCTGTTTTTTCTCCTCCCCCTGAGCCTGCCCTATGTAAATTGGCCTAGCCAAGAGGACTGTTTGTTTCACCTGAGGTCCTCACTCCGGCCCTTGGACCTTCCTTTGTTCTCTTTTTACAGGCTTTTCCCTTTGTCTTTTAGCCATTGCCATTTTGGATTCCTTTTTCCTATTCTAACTACCTAACATTAATACACATACTAGGTCCTAGTAAATGACTGTCAGTCATTTTAGTAATTATCTTAAATTGTATGTCACAGCAGTAACCAAGTTTTCCAATTGCATTATAATCAGATGTTTAACCTTGGTTAAAGTCTTTTGTCATTTATAGACAGTTATCATTGTACTTTGCTTTTTGCAAAAAATGTTTCATCCTTAAAGAAAATTCACAAAGTACTTCTTGACAAGTACAGATTTCTGATTAATAGTCACATCATACTGCTGAACTGCGTAAGAAAGAATTCTAATGAAAACTGGATGGCTTCATATAACTGTTAACAGAAAACAAAGGTCAAGGATTAGTCATATGGAACTGGGTGAACTGCGTATGGTTATAATTTTTGTCTGAAATATCACTGCTGACACACCTTTGGAATGACTTTCCTAACCTTGAGGTTTTTAAAGCTCAATCTGAGAGTCTTCATGAAAGGTTCCAGCATAGCCAATTTAGAAGTCTCTGTAGTCAATTAGCCAGACTTATTTTGTGAACAAGTAAGTTTCAATTTGGTAGAAGTGAGGGTACCTTTAGAAAAAAAAAATTGTTTCAACTAACACTGAATTCTAGTTTTGTTAATTTAGGTCTGTATTTACTAAGATTCACTTTCTAGATAACGCCTTGTAAAGTTTAGTCATTAAAAAGACCCTCTGTTTCCAAAGTTTATCACAGTAATCTAACTTTGGATGAAATCAATAATGCACCATGACCTGCAACCAGGAGATGATGCATACTGGAAAAGACAAAGGACTTGGCCACTTTTGAAGGGACCTTATCAGGCCTCTGCTGAATGAATGGCAACTCCTGTTTCTGACACTTGACTTAGATTAAGACCAGCACTACCACACCAGTTTGAGAAGATAACATCTGAAGGAGACAGCTAACCCAAGATGTCAGAGCAGGCCTGTATATTGACTACTCTGACAATTGCTCACAATTTTGCTAACGAGCCAAATGTATTTCTTGGGCTCAACCACATACAAGTTTCAAATATCAATTCAAGTGCTGGGTTTGTGGACAATTAACTACATCCAGTACTCCCAGGTTGCCTTGATGGATTTCTCTTCTCAAAGATGGTCCCTAAACATTTTATTTTAAAATTAATTCTAGCACTGTGCAATCTTAAGTTACCACCAACTTCACTAAGTGATACCCTCTTATTTCTTAACTCATCTTATGACCCATGAAGTGTCAAATTTTTGCTCTGAACAATCTTCTTACTCCAAGTTTAGGGAAAATACTAGGAAGATGATTTGCTTCAGGAGGATTTTGGCTTAAATCTTTGCTAATGATATTGCTACCACTATCAATTTAGTTTCTGGAACTTATAAGTTGATATTTTCCTGCCTTTCAAGCTGCATCACCTACTTGTACTAAGATAATGTCTAAATGACTTGAAACTCTAGATCACGTCTGCAGTTCTCTAAAACATCATGGATATACACAACACACATGTGAGGAAAGTGGGCTTGAAAGTCTTATTTGACAACTTAGAATTGAATGTCTGTCCTTGCCAAACATCCTGCTAGTACAGTTCCCCAGAAAGGAGAGAATCGGGCGATTAGAACTTGACATGGAGGGACATGACAGACCCTAGGGCAGGCAAGCAGTGACCCTGGTTTTGAGTGACCAGTCGATCACCTAATACTTTCTAGTGAAATACTACTTCACAGTTTCTCCCCATTGATCATTAAAGTTCATGTTTTATGGCAAGACAAGTAAAATTTAAACAATTTTTTCTCTGCCCTTTGGTAGCCTCTGTCCCCACTACTGTGCATTGTGTATCTGCATTATGCATCCACCAAACTTCCTCATCAGAAATACCTGCTCAACTGTAAACAGAAACATTCTCCTAGCATCAAGACAGCTCCTTAAAAGATAACATTCCTTCTTGATCTTATAAGGGGTCATGATGATGCTTAGATCTGGATTGTATAAACTATTAATAATACATCACTTAAGGAACAGCTCTGTCTCAACAAGCTTCTAAAACTGTGCCTTTACTTCACTTCTCAGAGCTTTCTGATATGCTCCTCCTGGGTTTAATCCTCAAAATTGACTCATAACAGTTTCCATTTTTTAGATTGACTCGTTTTCACACATTGACATATCATAGTGACTTGCTTCCTCACTTATGTCAATGTTTCAAATACTACCTCCTCAAAGAGACCTTTCCCGACCTCAACGACCTCAACTGTCCTACGTGACATAGCAACACTATTCCCACTATTCCTTAGTTACTTGTAGCATTTAATACCTGAAGTTATATTATGCATATTTTGGTCACTCACACAAAAAAATGAGAATTCTCTAAAGGCAGGAATGTTGTGTAGCTCATTTACTGCTTCATCCTCAAGCATGTTAGCAGACACAGATGGCACAGAGCAGTAAGGGGTGCTGCAACCATTGTTCAAATGGCATGAATCCTCAGAACTCTTGCAGGGTTTGTAGAAATCTTCCATGTTCTTAATCTAGAACTGTAGTTATTTAATGCTGATTCATCCTGCAAGTCTGTATGCCCTTAGAGAACAGGAATTATGCCTTGTTAATTTAGGGGTACACAGGAGGCATTCAAATGACACTACCTCTAAAATTCCAAATGCCAATCCAATTTGTCTTCCATACAGGGATTACTATCAAGATTTTATATAAATTATAGTTTAATTCAAAAGTAGGAAAATATATCATATTTACAATGCATTCCTCTGCATATAACAAAGTAAATACAACTAAGTACTGATCATTTCATCTTTATTTTTAAAACAAAGCCATTTTTAAAATATAAAAAATAGACCTCTTTTCCAAGAACCATTTAAATATGGCTTTGAAAACCACAATATTTTATTTACAACAAATAGATGGTAGTGCAAAAAAGCATTCATATGTAAATAAAAATTACTTACTGGAGTAGCTAATAGATCACCTTACATAGATACTTGAGGGTATATTTGTTGACATAAGGATCGTTTTGGGGCAGAGGCCTTTATAGACAATTACAATAACTCAAAAGTAAAATCAAGACTGGCCTTTAGAGTAATCTGTATTTACACCTGACTTTGATCAATTATTTGGGATCTGAAACCACGTATCTGAAATCTGAAGTGAAAGTTGAAACTTTTCATTTTCTGTTTGTCAACAAACATACTCTCATTCATCTAGTATTTATATAAGGTTATCTATTAGCTACTGATTTACGGTCAGGAAGGCTAAATAAGGGCTGAATACTGCTGGATTTTGTTCTGATTTTATAAATTAAAAAGACAGTATCTATGCCAAGAAATAATAGTGGGATCCAGGATTACATTTTAAATTATGAAACCAGCCTCTGGGAAAAAAGTAGTGATGGAATGACAACACATGTCAGATATTTCTCAAAGTAAAAGAAGTATACAACTTCTTGAATTTTTCAAATTTCAACTGCATTCCAGCTGAATTAAAACTAAAGCACATTTATGGAGGATTTTTTTTCCCCACCAAACTTTCACAATTCAAAAACGGTCAGGATTTGGGCAATATCTTTCCCAGTAAATCCTTAACGTTTAATTTACTCTTCAAATATCAATGACATCTTTTAAGAGGGCATTTTCTTGCTATTGCACAGAGGTTGATTTTTAAAGCCAATCCAGGCAAATGAGTTCAGAAAAAGCAGCACATTCTTCAAATCCATCCAGCAAATGCTGCAAATCAGCTTCTACTTGGACAATGAAATGGAGAAAATTTGTGAAATTCTCCACTTGGTGTCAATTTTACTGTTGTGTTGCTGGCAGCCATTTCAGGGAGAGGTAGCCAAGTCCCATATCCATGGGGAAGGCAAAAGCAGAAAAACATGGTGAAGACTGAGCCGTTCTGTGACTTCTAATGATTATAGACCAAGTTTGATTATGAGCTATGTTGCTGTGCAGTAATCTTCTGAGTTTTATGTCTCAAATACAAAGGAGCATGTTGCTGCCTTGGGCAGATGTACTGGAATTATCTTCTCTTAGTTTATGTCATCTTTTCTCAGGCCAAGTAAAAAATGTGAGACATTTTCATATACCACAAAGGTAATACAGCAGGCTGGAGTAACTCTAATCAAATTGGGGGCAATCCCTTTGTAAAATCCACCGATGCCTTCTTTCCTTTAGAGCAAGAGAGAAAAAAAAAAAAAAATTATACACACACACATACACACACACACACACACTCTTAATTTCCTACAGAACTAGCCTGAAAACAAAAGTTTAGCAGACAGGGCACAGAGCCAGCATTTAAACCTCACTGGGATTTGAGTTCATGTTTTCAATGTCCTGAAATAACAGTTTATGAACCATTCGTAGGGCTTACATGCCTTTTGTGGGAATGAGGAAGAGAGGGCAGGGACACCTCAAAATGAGCTAAAAAGCGCTTTAATCATAACCATCTTCCAGATGCCTTTAAATGTATGAACATGTAGGAGTATTAACTGATCTTAACACACGCATTAAACATTTCATAAATAAATGCTAGACAATACTAAATACAGCACACACAAAAATAAAACTTTATTTCCTTCATGCCTAGAGTTGGAATACGGCCTTGAAACTTTTCACTTAGGTTCTCAATACAAATTTACTGAAGTGAACTGAATTGAAATGGTGAATATTCTGTTCTGACCTTTTAGAATTAGAAAGAAACATGGGGATGTCTACCTATAACAGTTTAAGGCTTCCCATACCAAAGAACAAGCGTCTATTCCACATACAGAAACAAGTTATTTGCAAAAGTCCTGATACCAGTAGAGATGTGGGGCCTTCTTAATTATATTAAATTAGTTTTTTTATGACTCCCTATGCTCAATGCCATTCAAAGAGTTTACAACACCTAAAATTTAATTTGTCAAAGCACTTTCACATATCTCATTTGATTTTTATAAATAACTCTGTCAACACAGAAATTCAAATTTTACAAATGAAGTGAAGTCTCATGTAGTAAATGGGATATGTTCAGGAAGGAGCCATCAGCCAAGTCTTCACCACAGACATGGTCTTTGCTATAAAACTAATGTCAGCTGGATAGTTTAAGATTTATAAGGTATCTCCTAAGAGCCATTCTAACATATATGTGCTCTTACCTCCATGTCTTTGTCATTACATCCAATACACCATTGTAAAACATGTGCTGATCTTGCAGACGAGCTCTTATAACCTGGTAGGGGTATGTTGCTGCCACAGCAAATATTTTGGATAGTGCTGCAACTGATATATATTCTACTGTGCTCTAAAATGACAATATAAGACATTTTTTTTAGATGGAATTTCTTTAAAAATAAAGATAGGAAAACACTGAAGTGGATCCATAAGTGAAAATCACAAACTCTGTTTTTAACATTTACCTGTTCTACTTTTAACATTTATGTGTCATTAGCCTATAGAGTATTTAGCTATAAATTAAATTAGTGGCAGAGTCGGTACTCATCATAGCAATACTACTACACATGATAAAATTTCCATCTATTAAATGCCCATAAAAGTAAATACCAAAAAAAATTTTTTTTTTCTTGAAATTCATCTTACCAATTGTGCTTCTGGTAATCTATTGATATGTTGGTTGTATTTCAACTTCAATAATTCATATGCCATAAACTGAAGGGCACCATGTGATGTTCCAAACAGCCCAGGAACAAACCCCTAAAAAAGATAAAGAAGAAAAGGCTAAACCAAGCAAGTTCCCAAAGGACCACAGCTTACGGGGAGAGGAGTAAGGAATGGGTGACCTCAATGCGTGACTTAGAGAAATGGTTATTGAAAGTTTTAGACAGTGCTTCTCTCACCCATCAGCGTCATGATAGTACTTATGGTAATGAGGACAAATGGTTTAAAGTACAATTTCAATGCAGATTTCAGTTTTCATTAAATTGTTCCTTGCCCAAATTTGGCTTTTTTTCAGGACTGACTACAGGTCATTCAGAACTCAGACAACAGAGTCAAAGGAAATTACAATTGTCAGATATTAGAAATATGTTGGTAATAATTTATTACCTTATACAATCCACGCACACCTTCATACTTATATATTTTCACAAGCGTATCAAACATTCCTTTATATTGCCGCTGTGAAGCATTAACAACACCATCGTACTGTAACATAAGGCGAGTTTTTGTTACCCATAGTGGGTTGGTGATGCAGAGGGTCATGGCTCCTGAAATCAGATTTAGATACTATTATTACTCAGCATACAGGTACTTTCTCACTTCTGACAATCCGAATTAAGAACAGTCTGTTTATATAAAGAATGGGGGGTGCTCGGGGGTTGTACTTACAACTGTAAAATGTGGTCTCTGAGGCACAGACCTAGGGTTAACAAATGGGTAGACATAGTTTTTGGTGGTCTTAAAAGGTCCTCCATGTGGTTAGTGAGAAGTAAATTTAAAAGGAGGTAAAATGTGAAACACTCCCTTTGAGAGGTGTGAGGACAGCAAAGAGGTCCTGGCTCCTAAACAAGGTGTGGAGAACAGATGGAGGTCCTGGGAAGCAGACGCTGATGAAGAGATACAGACGCTCAAGAAGAGGATACAGTACAAGCCAGAGGGACTGAAGACTGGGGAGAAGGACCAGGAAACCAGCATCTCAACCATCTGGGCATGTGTACACGTATACCCACCTCAGCTTTATCACAATCTTCCTCAAACCCACTCAAAGTAGCCACTATACCTCAAAAATTAAATAACTACATAAAGACAGAAGTAATATTTACATTTTTCACAGAAAGTGACAAGTTAATAAATAAATAAATAATCTGATTTAGTTTTTCATTTGCTACATTTCCTAAGTAGCCCTTTATTCAACAAATATTGAGTCCTACAGTGAGTCAGGTCTCTGACAGCAGTTAGGCAGGTATTCAAAAATGAGCAAGATAATTCTTGCCTTAAAAAATAATCAGTAAACATCGGAGGGAGGTTCAAGAGGGAGGGGACCTATGTATATCTATGGCTGATTCATGTTGAGGTTTGGCAGAAACCAACAAAATTCTGTAAAGCAATTACCCTTCAATTAAAAAATAAAACTATAAAATTTTAAAAATTCAGTAAACATTAAGAAACCAGGGTGGGGAAATTTCCTGGTGGTCCAGTGATTAGGACTCAGCGCTTTTACATCTGGTGGGGGAACTAAGTGCTCAGAGACTGTGTGGCGTGACATGACGTTTCCACTCAACCACCAACCCCCTGCAAAAGAACCAAGATAACAAGGTATCAAAGCAGGACTTATAAGTCCTACTTTGTCTTAAGACCACCAAAAACCATGCCTACCCATTCATTAACCCTAGGTCTGTGCCTCAGGAACCACATCTTACAGTTTTAGGTACAATCCCTGAGGATCCCCGTAAGTCTGAATATTATACATACATGAGGCAATTAAACAAGGCTGCGGCTGCTACTGCTGCTAAGTCACTTCAGTCGTGTCCGACTCTGTGCGACCCCATAGACGGCAGCCCACCAGGCTCCCCCGTCCCGGGGATTCTCCAGGTAAGAACACTGGAGTGGGTTGCCATTTCCTTCTCCAATAAACAAGGCTACTAAATTGTTTAATTTGAAGATTGAAATCATACTTTAGTTGAAGAACCCTATATCAAATCATCTTGAATCAGAGTCATAAGCATTCCAAATGTTATATCCTTTGTGATAAGTAAAATTCTTGAAATCTACTCAGGGTAATCCATCAGTATACCTGCCTTCTAAGAAATTTCATGCGGTAACTGATTAGTATAGTTAGAGGAACATAATTAAACTCAGATGTTCATGGGAAAAAAGTCAAATAAAGAAAAAAAGTGAAAACCAAGTTGGAAGCTGATGTTTTCTATTTCACACACCGCCTTACCAGCTTCAGCAGCTGAGATGAGATACTCTGTTGCCTCCAACCGTTCTGCTCTGCCTTCTGTCTTATATGACTTGATGGCATTGTAACTGGAAGAATAAAACAAAAACACTTGGATAAATATTTGAATGGGGGTCACAAAGCAGGAAATGCTATTTTAAACTGTGGGTAATTTAACAATATCCCAAAAGTAGAAGTCAATGCATAATCCAACCACAAAATAAGACCTTTCTCAAATAATGGGTTTACTGGAAGACTACACCATCTCCACCCCCCAAATATGGAAGGCTGGCAATACATATGTAAAATATTTTCACCACACACTCAACTGTTAATCATAACAAAAGATAACACAGATGATATCATGAGAGATTAAGAAATTACTACTGATCAGAGGAGGCAGCACTGAGCCAGGTATGAGAAACAGGTGCAGCTTCAATAGGGAAACAGGAGCATGTGTAGAGTGATGGGAAGACCTGGCTAATTGAGCCACACTTGAATGGAACACTGACATTTCTGCTTTACTTGGCGGAAAACAGCCACAGAATACTTCTGAGTTAAGGGAGTTATCAATCTCCTTTTTTCTCTAACTCCAATTTCCATCTTCTTCCAGGAAGATGACTTCAACTAAAGAAATCTTTCCAAACTTGACCAATCTATTTCATCATAAAACAAGGATATTGTTCTAGGACGATTTCAACACATTACACCTTACATGGCTTGCCCTTAGAAACTCTATCTTTAAAGACTCCACACAACTCTAAAGTTATTAACACAATAAATTTTATACATACAGTTTCACCCATCTAAGCATACCTTACAACTGAAAATAGGAAAAATATTTAAACAATATTAAGGCTGGTTTTTATTTTGTTTTCACTTACAAAACATTTTAAGGTTGGTTTGGACCCTACCATAAGATTATGAGAGATCAAGTAAACTACAGGACACAAAAGAGAAAAGGCAAATATACCAGGAGAAACAGTGGCAGACTTTATTTTTCTGGGCTCCAAAATCACTGCAGATGGTGACTGCAGCCATGAGATAGAAAGACACTTGCTTCTTGGAAGAAAAGTTATGACCAACCTAGACAGCATATTAAAAAACAGAGACATTACTTTGCCAACAAAGGTCCGTCTAGTCAAAGTTATGGTTTTTCCAGTAGTCATGTATGGATGTCAGAGTTGGACTATAAAGAAAGCTAAGCGTTGAAGAATTGATGTTTTTGAACTCTGGTGTTGGAGAAGACTCTTAAGAGTCCCTTGGACTGCAAGGAGATCCAACCAGTCCATCCTAAAGGAAATCAGTCCTGAATGTTCATTGGAAGGACTGATGTTGAAGCTGAAACTCCAATACTTTGGCCACCTGAAGTGAAGAACTGACTTATTTGAAAAGACCCTGATGCTGGGAAAGATTGAAGGTGAGAGAAGGGGACGACAGAGGATGAGATGGCTGGATGGCATCACTGACTCAATGGACATGAATTTGAGTAAACTCCAGGAGTTGGTGATAGACAAGGAGGCCTGGCGTGCTTCAGTCCATGGGTCACAAAGAGTTGGACACGACTGAGCGACTGAACTGATATTTCCCTAAAATTCCATGTAATAAACAAAAGCCTCCCCAATCATGGCTTCAGTTTCAAATATCAGAGGCAAGCTCAGGGCAGCACACGCTCCTCCACTGCAGGGTGATAACGCTTTGTTTCCTCACCCTTGAACACTCAGTAACTTGAAATGTGGCTGCCACAGATGCTGTCTGTGGCTTCTTCAGTGAGCATCCACTGGCAGGAATAACAAATGGTGATGCCAGTAAAGGTGTGAGAAAATGAATGAGCTATGAAGATGAAGGAGCAGGTCAAATAGGAGATAAGAAGAAACATGCCTCAGACTCTTTCAGTCATGCACTGGTTTTGACTCTCTTTTCCCAAAGGGCTGTCCTGTGATACATGTTCTTATGAGGGCTCCAAGATCTGTCCACTTCTGCCCTTTCAACTTCAGTATGAATCACACATATTCTGGGAAGCCACCTTCCTGATGCATCTCACAGAAATGGTTTCTGGAAGAATGTTCATCTCATCCTTTTACCTTCTTCCTATTAAGAACTTTTTCCCAAATGCCTCTGATAAATGATAAAAGCTTACAGAAAATGAGACTAATAAGGCATTCTATGCTTCCTAGCTCTTGGAAGTCAGAGAAACTGCTTAAATGATTCATTTTGCTTCATCAACTGATTTTTTAAAAAATCATTAAAAACAAAAATTTCTTTTTATTTATAACTGTAAAATCTCCCAGAGCTACTCACAAAAAAAAGTAGAGTCCCCAGGATAAACCTGCACCCCACACATTTGGGGTTACTCCTTGGTAAAGTCCCCGTAGTCCATCAAGTTTCCAAATGGTGGTCAAGCAATGCAAAATTCCTTTATATTTTGGTCTTAGTTCCAATCCGTCACTCACTGCAGTAAAGGATACACAGAGTTAGGTGGAAGCAAAGTTCTAGCTCTGAACTATAAACATATGTCACACAATCAATCATATAAAGGAGGTAAATTCAAAAGAAAATCATTTTTTGTTGATAAAATTATTTTCCAGGATTTGACATTTTAAAATACATTCACATATTTATCCAAGTTTTAAGTGCTTAGTATGCTTTCAATGAAAATTTTGATAAAAATATGAGCAGTGATAAAGAAAGAAAATATAGAGAATGTAATAAATGTTTCTGGAAATTCTCTTACCACCATCCCCACCAACACACACACCAACATCAGAATAGAAAGTAGAAAATCTCATCCATTCTTTTCTCTCAAAAGTTCTAAATTAATAAAACATGATAGGGTAAAACAAAAACTAACAATATACATTCTATATTTTTTAAAATAAGAATTCAAATCTGTTTTGGAAGTTTAAAAGATAGCACTTATTTTAAGTAACTTCTGTTTTATGAAAGATTCCATAAACCAAGAAGAGATTGAAAACGAGTAATATAGACATAATATATCTAATTTACAAAAAAAGGATTCACAAATAAGAAAATGACAAACAGTCCCTAAAAATTTTACGGGCAAATTACATAAACTGTTGATTCACAGAAAATTACACACGGTCAAATGGAATAGAATGGAGACACCAGAAATAAACCCACCCACTTACGGCCAATTAATCTGTGACAAAGGAGGCAAGAATGTACAATGGAGAAAAGACAGTCCCTCCATGAGTGTGCTGGGAAAACTGGACAGCTACGTGCGAAAGAATGGAATTAGAACAGTCGCTAACATCATGTACAAAATAAACTGAAAATGGATTAAAGACCTAAATATAAGAATGGACACCATAAAGCTCTAAGAGGGAAACATATGCAGATCACTCTTTGAAGTAAATTGCAGCAAAATCTTTTTGGATCCATATCCTACAGCAATAAAAATAAAAACAAAAATAAACAAAGAGGACCTAATTATACTTGAAAGCTTTTGGATCCAGCAGTCCCATTCCTGGGCATGTATCTGGAGAAAACTCTCATTCAAAAAGATAAACGCACCTCAATGTTCACTGCAGCACTATTTACAATAGCCAAGACATAGAAGCAACTTAAATGTCCAATGACAGATGAATGGATAAAGATACGATACATATATACATGCAAAGAGTCAGACATGACTGTGCAACTGAGCACACACACACACAGAGATATACATATACACAATGGAACAATACAAAAGAACAAAATCATGCGATTTGCAGCAATATGGATGGACCTATCATACTAATTGAAGTCAAACATGATATTGCTCACATGTGGAATCTAAAAAAATGATACCAACCAACTTATTTACAAAACAGAAATAGACTCACAGACTTAGAGAACAAACTTGTGGTTACCAAAGGGGAAAGGTGAGGATGAGGGGTAAACCAGACGGCTCGGATTAACATACACATACTACTGTATATAAAATAAATAGTCAACAAGGACCTAGGGGTGGAGCACAGGGAACTCTGCTCAATACTCTTTAATAACTTACATAGAAAAAGACTCTGAAAAAGAATAGATACACGTATGCATATATAACTGAATCACTTTGTTGTACACCAGAAACTAACACAATGTTGTGGGATCAACTATATTCAATATAAAATAAAAAAATTTTAAAAAGAATGTCATGCATACAACATGAGAAATTAAGCAGATATTTTATAAATGGAGTATAACCTCTAAAAACTGTGAATTGCTATATTGTACACCAGTAATATATAATATTGTATTCAATAAAAAAGAAGCACTGAAAGAGTTTTCAACCTTACCAATAAAATACAAATTAGACAATGTAGCTTTTTCTCTTTTTTTGCCTTCAGAATTAAAAGAGCTTTATGATTTGTTATAGGGAAATTTTCATGGCCTTTTTGAGAGAAGTTTAACACTATCTAATAAAAATTCAAATGCAATTATTCTTTGACTTAGCAGTTCCATTTCTAAAAATATATCCTATACAAATACGGCCACAAATTTACAAAGATACACATACAATGATGTTCACTGAAGCATCTTCTGTGATGGCAAAAGTTAAAGTAATTTCAATATCCAAAAACAGGGAAATGTTTAGATAAATTATGATATATCTATACTGTGGACTACTATAAATATTCAGAAAGATTGACAGCTATAAAAGGAATAGGCTGAAACACTGCATATGGTTAATAGTAGCTATCTGCAGAGAACAAGACTGGCTATGAGTGGTTACAGAGGAAGAATGATAAAGACAATTCAACAATACAAGTGACGATGTAAAGTAAACAATGATGACGTACTTTTTGTAATCAAATAAAACAATGGAGGCCTAGGGGAAACTTTTAAACTTTTATTTCTGTTATCTTTCACCCAAGAACATCTTCAGATGCTTCATATCTCCAGCTGAAGTAATTTTTAAAACCTCCTTCATGTAATAAATATTAAACTAGCATAGAATTGGGCTTCCCTGATAGCTCAGTTGGTAAAGAATCTGCCTGCAATGCAGGAGACCCCGGTTAAATTCCTGGGTTGGGAAGATCTGCTGGAGAAGGGATAGGTTACCCATTCCAGTATTCCTGGGCTTCCCTTGTGGCTCAGCTGGTAAGGAATCCGCCTGCAATGCGGGAGACCTGGGTTCGATCCCTGGGTTGGGAAGATCCCCTGGAGAAGGGAAAGCTTTCCTGGTGGCTCAGACGGTAAAGCATCTGCCTGCAATGCGAGAGACCTCCGTTCAAAACCTGGGTTAGGAAGTTCCCCTGAAGAAGGAAATGGCAACCCACTCTAGTATTTTGCCTAGAGAATTCCATGGACAGAGGGGCCAGACGGGCCACAGTCCATGGGGTTGCAAAGAGTTGGACATGACTAACTTCACTTTCACTTTCAGCATACAGTCATTAAAAATGGTGTTTTAAATAGCAAAACATGTATGCTGCAGAACATTTCCAAAATATAGGAAAGCAGGTGCTCAGTCACTCAGTTGTGGCCAACTCTTTGCGACCCCATAGACTGTAGCCTGCCAGTCTCCTCTGTCCCTGGAATTTTCCAGGCAAGAATACTGGAGTGGGTTGCCATTTCCTCCTCTAATAGGAAGGCATAAAGAAAATAAAAACCATGCCCAAAGCCGCCACTCCAAGATGACTGCCCTTATTGTAGTATATTTCCTCCCTTTCTTTTTTGTCTGTGGATATAAATGCCAGTGTCAACAAAGGTCCGTCTAGTCAAGGCTATGGTTTTTCCAGTGGTCATGTATGCATGTCAGAGTTGGACTATAGAGAAAGTGGAGCACTGAAGAATTGATGCTTTTGAACTGTGGTGTTGGAGAAGACTCTTGAGAGTCCCTTGGACTGCAAGGAGATCCAACCAGTCCATCCTAAAGGAAATCAGTCCTGAATGTTCATTGGAAGGACTGATGTTGAAGCTGAAACTCCAATACTTTGGCCACCTAAAGCGAAGAACTGACTCATTTGAAAAGACCCTGATGCTGGGAAAGATTGAAGGCGAGAGGAGAAGGGGACGACAGAGGATGAGATGGCTGGATGGCAACACTGACTCAATGGACATGAGTTTGAGTAAACTCCAGGAGTTGGTGATGGACAAGGAGGCCTGGCATGCTGCAGTCCATGGGTCACAGAGTCGGACACGACTGAGCGACTGAACTGAACTAACTCCAGATCAGACCTTTTTGTTGATCTTCAAATCTACATAAATAATGCAACTAACAAACACTGCAACTTGAACAAATCCAAAGCTGAACTAGTTTTCTCCATCCCTTCTGAAGATGCTCTTATTCACTCCTCTGTGTTAGTCAATAAACAGGGGTTCTCTGGTGGCTCAGATGGTAAAGAATCTGCCTGCAATTCAGAGACTCTGGTTTGACTCCTGGGTCAGGAAGATCCCTTGGAGAAGAGAATGGCAACCCATTCCAGTATTTTTGCCTGGAGAATCCCATGGACAGAGGAGCTTGGTAGGCTACAGTCCACAAGGTCTCAATAGGATCTGGCTTAGCAACTAACACACCATCTATACAGAGGCTCAAGACAGAAACCTGGACAGACACCAGAGTCCACAAACACTCCTCCTTTCACAACCTCTTACCAATTAAGACATCCTGTTGATTCTACATCACAAGTCTCTCCTGGACCCATCCATGTCTCTCAGTTCACACTGCCACCGCCCTACTTTAGGACACCATCACTTCTTCACTAGCAACAGAAATTAAATTAGCTTTCTTATCTCCAGTTTTGCTGCCTTACCCCAGTAGTTGCACTGCAGGTTGAGAAATCCTTCTAGAAATGTGCGTTTCAGTAAGTCACTTATTTATTATACTTAAAACTATTCTACACCCCAAACAATAAAGAACATTATTCCTTAACACATTACATAAGACCCTCCATTACTCTTCTACCACAAGCCCCTGTCTCCTCTTCATTCTCTCTCTGTATTCAACAAAGCTGCCTTAGGGAACTTACTGCATAGTACTTGGCTCACTGAAGCCAACACTTCAAAATATTTGAGGAAAATTGCTAGAATGTTCAACAATTTTCAGTTCTTAACACAGCCTCTGACCTTAACACTTTGGCACAGCCTATTGATGGTCTGCCACGAAAATTCTCTTCTTAACTATTCCTTCACACAAGTAACTTTGATTCCTCTTTCAGGTCTCAGTTTAGCAATCATTTCTTTTGGGGATACCTTCCTACCCTCTAGATGCAGTTTCCCATGGCATACCATACATTCCCTACCATAATAAAATACTCTTCATTGCAATAATTAGTGGGGTTGTTCGTTTTGTTCAATTATCTTGGCTTCTCATTGCTCTGTGAGAGCAGAGACTACTTTTTCATTGCAATATGCACACTCCTATCATAGTGCTTTGTACATTGTAGGCTCTCAAAATACATGTGCTCAATTGATACAGCCTGAATATCTTCCATTTCCTTTCCAGAACCGGAG